TTGCACTTGTAAAAATATACAATTATCTATAGGGCCAGAAAATAAAATAATGCTGGATATGCATCTAAAAAAACAACCAAAACACAGAAACTTTAGGCTTTAGTCTATGCTCTTGATAAATGTTTGACTGCAAAAAAAGTTATGTTAAGGCCACAAGAACATTTGGATTTTCTGATGCTCTTAAACTACCTGTGCAGTCAGTTTTCTGAGGAAATATGAGTGCTGCATGATAAGCATTGAGTAAGAATGTCATCAGCAGGGATGACAAACCTCTCTGGGTTTGGTTATCACTTGGCAGACCGTTCTGCACTCAAAGCACCGTGTCCCAATAACAGGCTATAAAAGTGACGATGCGCATCCACGGAATAAGAGGCTGCTGGGACGCATTCGAGGATAGAAGACAACCTTGAAGTGTGCAGAAATAAGGTATTAGGGATGACGCATTCACAAAGAGAACACAAAACAAGTGCACACATGCTTTCCCAGACACATTCGACATCGATTACGCCTCACGAGTGGCTGCCTAAGCTTAGTGCGTCTGGGGAGAGCTGTTTATGTGGATGTGTAGGTGTGGTCAGCTCATATTCCAGAGTCGTGCGCAACTGTCACTGAGATTAAAAAGAAGAAAGAGTAGCTATGCAAGCTGGAAGACACTTTTTCTGCTCTTGAATGAAAGATATTTTAGAGTAAATCTATAATAATAGAAAAATAAGGTATGCCAAGAATTCTAGTTCACCAATTTGCATTACATTAATGTTAATAAGTTTTTTATATTGCTAAGAGGGTAAAAAACGCATAAAAAATTTATTATTATGAATATATTAGATCATTATAGAGCATTAAGATATTAAAAAAAAAAAGATATAATTTTAAATGTTAGAGTAAAAAAAAAAGCATTAAGAAAATCTGTAACCTGTACTATTCTATTTGCATTTATAAATGTTTCAGTGGAATTTTCTATCGAGGCTTTTCAGAGTTATAACTGTGGACCTACAGTTTACAACTACATAAACATGTATGAGCCGTTCTATGCTGCTGCCTGTTTTTTTTTTTGGTGTAGTCCTGTTTCTCTGACTGTGACTGGCTGGATTTGCTCTCATCATCCTCTGGCATGGGGTTGGCTTGGAGTTCGTCTGCCTGGCTGTGTTTTTCCTGGATGGGGCCGCTTTTCACAGTTGCTTTTTGTATCTCTGTCTCCTTTAACCCCAGTCGGCCTCAGCAGATGGCCGCCCACACTAAGCCTTGTTCTGCTGGAGGTTTCTTCCATTTAAAAGGGAGTTTTTCCTCTCCACTGTCACTACAAGCATGATAGTGTGAGAGCATAGTGTGAGGGATTGTATGCGAGTCAATGAATCGATGCAATCAACTGGTTTTCCTTAGATAGAAAACTTTAAATCAATTTCACTGTATGATCTGGTTGAATTGTAAAGTGCCTTGAGATGACATGTGTTGTGAATTGGAGCTATATAAATAAACTGAATTGAATTGAATTTAAGAGATAGAGCTCTACTGTCCATGCCTTCAACCTTTAGCTTAAATTAACAATTCAACCAACCTTCCTCTTCAGGACTTCATTTTTTAAATTGCTGTTAGTATTTGCCAGCAAGTATTGTGACTGCAGTCATTCAGCCTTGGATGAATGCCTCAACACCAAGTCAGTAAAGGCAGCAGACAAATGAACAGTTCCATTGACTCTGACATGCCCACTCACAAACTGCAGGGTAGATTTTTTGTTTGTCCTCCAGCTCATTTATTGTAATTCTCCCATAATCCTTTATGTGGCAAAATGACACAGCTGCCAGACATATCCTCTCTGCTGGCGCCTCAGACCTCCACTCCTTTCCTCTCCTCTTGCTCACAAATGATTTCTCCCTAAAATGAACGTACTTCACAACCACAACATATCCTTAAACATCCAAGTTAAAATGTAGGGACTCTCGTCCCTGGAGAGCCGACACATCTTAGTGTTTTTGTTTGTAAGGATGGGACACACCCTGTTGACAAAGTTTGATTCATAACTCTCAAACCATTTGGTGACTAAGGGCTTCTGGAGAAAAACAGCTGTGCAATTTGTTTTTTTGCAAAGTGTGACTACTCTGGAAGTGCATAGGATTAAAAGCCATAACAGAAATCTGTACACAGCTGAACCACAATGAAAAGCTTCAACACTAACAGGTAAAAACATGAACTGAAATGGCTTTTCGGTAGATGTCCAACTGTCCTAAATTAACTAGACAAGACAAAGCCGAACTTTGCATTTCTCGGTTCACTGATGAAGATAAGAATCCAGCCCCACATTGGCAGAGAGCTTCCCAGACCAAGCAGCAGACTGTGGGTTTGAAACGGTGTGCAGGGCTGTGTGGCATCTGGCCAAACTGCGATCTGCTTCCTAGCAAATCCTTGTTGATTTAATTTGTGCACAGTCGACCGGCAATGTCAACTTCGTGAAGCGCGGACCTGAAAGCTGGGCTAAATTAGATGAGCGTGCTTAATGCCTGCTTTTCTCCCTTCATTGGATGCAGGATGACAGCACATGAACAAGTGCTAAAACAGCCCAGAGAGAGCCAGTAACGCCAACATCACAGCAAATAGGATTGGAAATTTCTGGAACAGTGTCTGTATTGTTGGGAAAACACCGCTGGAAAGGCAGAGCGAGGAAAACTCAGCTGCACGAATCACCAGACAGATGCTGGGTTGTTAATGTCTGTATCTGTGCAGATAAATCACACATTCACCTGGTTCCAACCAGCAGACAGGAAGAACCCTGGAAGGTGTTGTCCTCTGACTGAGGCTGAAAGCAGTTATTAAGACATTACCTCTTTAAGCCAGGTCTGTGAAAGGACCAATCCAGGATCATTAGTGGTGTAGCTTTCAGTGCTCAGCATGCTTAATGAGCAGACCTGTCCATCCTGTCTGAGTGATTACTGAGCAGGCTGAGCGCTGAGACTGACTGCTGTGTGTCTATGTCTCACAAAAGGCACACATTTTGCACATCCTCTGATTTAGAGGATTCAAATAGATGTTTAGATTAGTTCAAGATAAAATAAACTCCTTTGAAATGTCTAAACCCACACAAAGAGCACCTGTGGATCACTAATGCCGACATTAGGGATAACTCTGCATTATGAACCAGCTGTGGTTTGGACCAAACAAGAGATCATCTAGTACTTCAAATGTCCTAGACTGGCTCACTATGGCTCATTTTGATTGGAAGCTAATTTCTGTGTGTCTCTAAAAGAGAATTTATCACTAAACAAACCACAACTCATCTTAGGACGTAGATTATTTTCACAATTCTCACACATGTTAAATGTTTCCACATCTAGTCGGCCTTTTGCTACCCAGCATCTTAAAGCTCAGTTCAATCAAAGTAAAAACCAAATTCATCAGCAGGAAATGCACCACACTAGGGCTTAAACAAATAATCAGATTAATCATGATTAATCGATTACCCAAATAATCGTCAACTAATTTAGTTATCGATTAATTAAGTATAGAGACTGTAAAACATGCCTTTAACTGACAAAGCAACCTACTTAGAGCAGTCATTATACCAAAAAAAAAAAAAAAAAAAAAAATAATTCAATTGGTTTGATTAATTAAAAAAAATCTTCTTTAGAATCCTTTTGCTGTCCAATCATCAATCGATTAATAATTAAACAATCGATAGATTAATCGATTAGGAAAATAAACGTTACACCATGCCCTATACCACACAAAGTCTCTTTTTCATCAATCTAAAAACTGATGCAGAGGAGAAAAGGCTGCTGGAAGAAACACTGAATCAATAAAGGTATAATGGTGTAAACAAATTCAGTTTAAGATCTAATATGGAAAATATATATAGATGTATTTCAGACTTTTTAAGGGTTAAAAATAAGATTTCTTTTTTTAAAGCTTCTCACATACATAGAAATATGATAACATATTTTGGGCGGGGTTCTGTTTTATTTTTGGATCTTTTCATGACTGTTCATTGTGTCCCTCTATATTTCAAAATATGAAGCACTAGATTGGTTATTGCACAGGTTATGCTGCCAGAAATCTAATGAATTTCACTTAATATTTTGTCATCTTTACATAAACTGATTCCCCCCAAAATAAAAAGCTAAAATCTGTCAATAAAATACAATTTAAAAGGGAGATAAAATAAATTGCATAGAGTATGCATTTATAGTTTGTATAGTATGCCCTTTTAAATTATGCTTGTGTTAGGATGGGGAAGAAAAATGTGACGAATAATGCAGTCTCTTCTGCACCAGTGCTGCAGCAGACTGCTTGTTTTTATCCTAGAAAAGCTACTCACTGCAGGGGGAACACAGGCCTCATCAGGGTGTTTCCTGCTGCTACTAAATGCATGAAAATTAAATCAGAGCAACAACAGAGAAGCCGAGTAGACAGACAGGAATTAAATGGAGAAACTTGAAGCTCAGATCTGTTACAAGCTTATGACGGCAGCCTGTTTGGTCAAGGTTAACTGTTACTGTATGAGCTTGCACTACCTGTTAGTACAGATAAAACAGCTGGATCAGAGGATTACCAGAGCAACAGTTCCCATAAAAAACATTTCATCCTTGATCTAAACAAAAGAGCATCAATGATTGTAAAAGAAATTTCCACAAAGCTATAGTAGATCCAATCACACAAAGACCTGCAAAATGTCAAAATATATTATTCTAAAAATTAAAACAACTCAGAACTACATGCAGAACCATTATATGTTATTTAACCAGTGTATCTTTTTGGTATTTGGTACATCTGGAACATCAGACATGAAAACAATGAATAGTTAGATAAAAGACTTGCAGACTGACAGAGAAAGAAAGATTATTTTATAACACATTGGACTCTGAAGACGAAAAAAATAATTTTTGTGCTTGGAAATATTTTGTCAAAAATCAATATACTTTTAAGAATCTGGTTAAGATGTACATTTCTTAATGAAATAGATGTATCACACGGTTCTAAGGTCATATCAAATTATGTCCAGATGTTTTTACCTCTTTGTGTTGTCTGAAGTTGGGCCAGAGGGATGGCAAGGTGCCTTGAAATCACAGCTTGGTGGAGACAAATGTTTGTCCAAGTTTTAAATGAAACAGCAACCAATGACTGCGACCATATGGGTGTTTGGTCCAGATTAGCGGTCTGAAATAACATCAGAAAAGAGACTTCTATCAAAAAGCTGAAAGCATTGGTAAAAGCTTTTTATTTCCCACAATTATCAACTAACCCACCACAGCCTAGATGGATTTTTGGATTGTATATAATTTTTTGAAAAGCAAATGAAAAAAACAAAACAAAAAACAAATTGAAGTGAAAGTGTTAGTTAAAATCTGAGGCTTTCACTCCCTGGAGTGTTGGGAATTTCAACAGTCTGTTGTGTCTGGCAAAGCAGCTTAAAAAGGGTCCTTTCCCATCTTGGATTTCCCGCAGCTAGTCACTTCCCAGGCTGAGCGTTGGCATTGGCTCACGCCCTCAGCTCCATTTTCCTAGTTTAAAGTTCCTCTATTTCCATTAAATATCCCTTCAAAGTTTTGGAATCAGTTAGGAATAAAAAAACCCATCCAAATTAGAACATTTAAACAAATCCAGATGCTTTACTCTCCTAATCCTCAGTTCTATATTCCACCGTTTGCTTTGTACTCAGTCCCTTGTGATATCTGTCACCTCCAAAAGTGCCCAGTTCACAACTTTTTCAAAGTCCTCTTTGAACTTGATAGCTTTTCTAAAAATCAAATCAAAAATATTTTCTTTTGCCATCTTCTCCCACGTTTTCCCCGCTCACCTCAGATCTTCGCTTTCCATTAAGTGTCCAGGGGTCTGTCTCAGTTTTGAAATTGTTTTTGGTTGCTGTTCTGTGCAGCACAGCAAGGCGCCCTGCTGCGGTGCGGCTGTTCATTTTTTAGACTCATGTCTTCCTTTTATAAAACGACCACTCCCTTCTCTCCTTCCCTTTCTCACTTCCTCTTGCAGAAGCTAGAAGGTAAGCCCCTTTCATCTTCCTCCAGTCAAACTTTTCTCCCACTATTGAAGAAAGCTTCTGCACTGCAAGTTTAACATCAATACTTTAGCTGGTTTCATTCTAACAAACAGGGCCGCATCTCGGCTAAGAGAGCCAACCCCGACCCCCCAAAACAGAAAACAACTTATTGTTAAAAAGCTCTACAGTCAGGAAGAAAAAATACAGCAATAAATCATCTTTTTATTAAAATTAAGTTCAGGCTTTTAACACTCAACAGCTATACTTAATTACAAGTTGGTCAGAGACTGAACATGATGCATGAAGAGGTTTAGGCATTGACAGTTAAGAAAAATGAAGGGACATAAAACTCTGCAATTGAAATGTGAGTTCATAATGCAAACATCAAACAGGAGAAAGTTCGGAGAAATGTTGTTTTAGAGGAGTAACAGAATTAAATCAGGTGAAACTAAAACTTTTCCACTGCAGGAGTTCTGGATAGAGCATATTGACAGACTAAATTTTTTTATTATTATTATTATAAATGCCAAATATTTACATTATTTTTGTTTTTTTGTTTTACAATTTTGGTATAATTACTGCTCTAAACCTAGTCTCTATACCACAGTTAACCATTAATCCAGAAGTTGACGATTATTTCAATAATCGGCTAATCATTAGTCCAATTAATTGTTTCAGCCCTAACTGAGTAACTAATGCGGTTAGTTTAAAGTAACCCAAAGTAAGTCTAGTTATTTCCTTTTCCTCCTTTGATGCTGACACAGAACTGATTAGTGGTAAATTGTACATTTCTTCTCTTAAACACACTTCAACGCACGCTTATGTAAATCACTGGCGAGCGCTTACAGGTTCTCTCTTGCAAGTCATGGTGCAAAAAAAGGAATAAGATTATTCAATTTAAAGAAACGTAACAGAGCTGTGATATCAAGCCTTCAGCAGAGACCTGAACATATAAAAATAAACACAAACTGCAAACAGTTTAAAATTAAATGAACTTTCTGAATCCTTTAAGATATCAACTGAGGTTTTTAGGAAAAAAAACATTAGGGACCGACTGTCTGGGAGGAGAAAGCTTCCTCAGTTTGGATTAACAATACGCTCCTTGTTCTTTCACTAGGCTCAAACTGCTTTTATCAAAATCTATTTACTCGCTCATTTGACCTAACTCTTAACCATCTCACATTTTGTCACATTTTTGTTTTTTCCATCCTATCTTTAACATTTTACTGCTGTCATCTTCTTCTTCTCAAGTATAAAGAAGCATATTTATCAGGCAGAAACAAAAACCCTTTTCAAAAGGCTCAGCCATGACAGAGACCAAGGCAGGAAGAACCAATGAGTGGGAAAACAGAGGAAGACAGAGTAAACTCTCTGAATAACATGTGAAAACCAATAAACAATATCTTCAGGGAGTTCAAATTACATTAGATGCAGGCATGATGCAGTTAATTGCCTCCATTTTCTATTTGCTATTTGTTATGCATTTAGATACAAACACTACTTCCCCTTTCTTTCTCATTTATACACACAAACACTAACACACACACACACGTATAAAGACCCAATGCTCTCTGATATTATATTGCCCTGGGGTCCATTAACCTGAGCATGAAGACTATAAAAAAATAATTGGAAAAAAGACAGAAAAATCTCAAGGGTAAAAAAAAAAATATATCAATTAGTTGCAGAAAGAAAACCTTCAAAGCGTTATTAGCGTTGCGGGGGGGGGATTTAAACTGATGAACATTAGTTGTTGACATGCCAAAAATGCAAATATAAGTAGATGTTTAGGGCAATTTCATTTAATACTCTTTGACAAAGTAAATAGCTTTTGTTTTTTGTTAAAATAAGTAAAAAAAAAAAAAAAAAACAGAAACAACCAATTTATTTTATTCCTCTAATCTGACAGAGTGAAATCACAAGGTACTGTATGAGGAGGTGTACTCTTTTACAAAAGATGGATTAAGATTCATAATACAAATATAATGGAATAAAAATATATAATGGAGCATATTAAATACATACACTGCAAAAAATGTAAATCTAAATAAGTCATTTTTTCTTAAAATAAGTGCATTTTATCCTGATTTGAGGAGATAAATGAGAGACTTTGCCAGTGGAACAAGACAATTTACATTTGAAATAAGAAAAATCAATTGCATTGTCTTATTTCAAGTGCATATTATCTAATTATCTCATTTTAAGTGTAAAAATACTCATCCCATTGGCAAACTATCTTATTTACCTACTCAAATTAAGTGTAAATACACTTGATTTAAGAAATTTTTACTTAATTTCAGATTGTTTTTGCAGTGTAGTGGTTCAGCTAGGAAAGCAATCAATAAATGGAGAGAATAAGAAACAGTTTGGGCAAAGGCAGAAGTTTTTCTTATAATGATGAAAAGATGGAAGCTGGAGAGGGCAACATTTACACTGGAGCCTCAGAGAAATCCTGGCACAACAATGCAACTTAGCCATACCTGCAAGAGTGTATGGTGGTGGCAGCATTATGACTGGGGGTTCTTTTTCTCCATATGGAATTGCTTTGTTTTATTTTGTAAAAGATATGGGAAAATATTGATAGATCTAAAAATCTGACAGCTGTTATTCAAAGCCTCCAGGTGATTTCTAGAAAAAAGACAACGAATAAGGATGAAAGTAATGTTTCAGCATCACAGGGAGTCTAAATTAAAAGAAAGGATCTGTATGACCTTGCTGGAGTCTGGACCAAACAGTGACAGGACTTCTGCAGTGTCAAAAAAGATCCTCAACAAGCGATATTAACAAAATATAACCGAATGAGAGAAATGTTATACGTTAGACTCTGAAATTTGTGCTGAAAGACTCAAAACAAAGACTGAAAACTGTAACTAAGACAAAAAGAGCCACAGATAAGTATCAGTTGAAGGGTATGAAAATTATACAACTGGGTTATTGCTGCTTTTTCAGTTCTCCGTGAAAAACAAAAATAAAATAAATTATACATATACATATATATAGATCCAAAAAGATATTTTTCGTTAGAGGTGCGTATAAACATGTATCAATTGAGGAAGAATGTTCTAATAACAGACTAAACCGCCGAGAAAATGTTTCGACTCAGACTTAATGTCAAATATGGTGGTTAAAGCTAAACATCTAGTGCTCTTTTCCAGCCATTATGTTAATCATAAATACATCTCTACACCAAATTTATGATTTTATTTTTGGATAACTGAATAAATAATTTTATAAATTACTCACAATATCTTCATGTTCATAAACAGCTGAAGAAAGCCAGTATAACGATTACTGCTAAAGTTTAATTACTACAAATTGTGCATCTGTAAACCTTTCTAAGAGCTATCATTAGTTTAGAGCCAACAGGAAGTTTCACTTCATTATCCATTTTTTGTCATATTTAAAGTAGTAGGAAAATTAAACTGTTCTCCATTTTTCTACATAATTTCATAAAACAAAATAAAAATTGTTTTTTCATATTATTGCTGGTTTGAAAGTGAGTGAAAGTATGATACATGGTCATCAATAAATGTTGCAATCTCCTCTTAAGCACATTTTTTATTTTTTGCAAAAATGTCCAGAACTACCTCAGATGAGCAGAAAAACTTTTTGTGAAATTTAGTCAATTCAAATTTTAATATTTCAATCAAGTTCTTCTAATAAGTCAATTCAAAATGGCTTAAAAAAGGGGATGGAAACATGTAATAGTATGCAGCTTTTGAATTTTGCATATTTTTGTTGGTATGAGGTCACATTTAACACATTTATTCAAAAGCTACAAAGAAAAAATAAAATAAAAAAAACTCCTAGAGTCATGAGATTTCTTAAGATCCAGCCTCCTGTGTTCCTCTTTGTTATTTCAGTCTGTTTTCATCACATTTTTAGGATAAAGTAGAAATGGCCCTGTGCTATAATGACCCCCGAAAGCTCTATCTTTCACTTCCCACATTTCTCACTTCTGCTTTCTGGCTTTTCTGCTCTTAACCTTCTTGTGCCACGACAGGCATAATTGACTCAAGCAGTAGAGAAAACAAATAACCTGAAGAGTTTTGATTTGCATAAACTGGAGCCTGGGGATACATAAGCTTTATCGGAGAAAGGACACACTAAAGCACGTTTCCACACCTTGTTTGTTTTCGGCTTAAATTAATACACCGGTAGGCAA